GGATTTAAAGGATCCTTTTCTCCCTCCCTCCATTTTTCTCCACACCCTTTTCAGGAAACTGATAACAAAGACTACCACAGTCAAAACCCAAATATACTGTTGAAATTAGAAAATAACCATACATATTCAGGGAAAGATGCAGGCTCAGAAAAAGACCTGTGAAGACCTTAAGTTTATACCTGATCCTAAGTTCAATAACAGCCTATAACCAAAAAAGAGAAAAAGGAAAGAAAGGGGGCAGGGGCAAGCCAAGAACAGCAAATATAATGAACCCTGAAGAAAGGGGACAACCTGACATCCAGAATTAACACTCTATTAGACTCAAATGTCCAATTCACAGCAGGAATCACACATCATACAAAGAAATAGGATAGTATGGTACATTTAAAGGAAAGAATGACAAAAAATATCCCAAATCAGAAACTATCCCTGAAAAGATCTGATGGCATATTCACTAGATTTTAAAACACTGTCTTGAAGGTGATCAATTACCTTTGCCAATTCATATATACAAGGATGCTAAAATTACTTTATAACACACCATGTAGAGAACGTGTAGTCTCTCTGGGAAGTTGATAATATGTTTAATGATTCAAGTACTCTAAGATTTTTGCTTACCCAATGAAGCAGAATTTTTGTCCAAATAGTGAAAATATCTCATATTTTCCAATGAGCAAGATTAGTAATAACCCAAATACCCTCTAAAAGGGGACTGGTTAAATAAATCATGGTATAAGCACACAATGAACTAATATGCAACTATAAAAAGTAAGGGAACACTCTAAAGACTACTATGCCCCAATTCTCCAAACACATTAGAGATGGAAAAAAAAAAAATCTAGGACATATATATTATATGTTAACTAAAAATAAATATATAAATGAATTATAAAAAGTTTCTAATTACTTTGTTTTAGAAGCACCAAAAAAGTGATTTAGTCATCCTGATAGGCGATACACACTCATTATTGGATCTTGGGGGGAAATTTAACACTGGTGAAGAAAATTTTAAAATTTGAAGCTGGACTCCAAAGACACTGGTTAAAGTTGGGAAAGTGTCATTCCTAGGCCTGAGGGAACTACCTGGAATTCTCTCCTAGGTAGAGTTGGGTTCTTCATCCATGCTCCCTACCTATACTCTGTATTCCATACAAGTAGTTGGAAGCTGAGTGGACACATCTGATATAGGACTAAGGGCTCCAATTTCAATTATTATAGCTACAGAATACTACTATACACATATGGTTTCAGGAGACAGTGCACATAATCTCAAGTAATGAGTGAAGAGGCTTTTTAAAGCTCAGAACATCAATAGCTTGGTATACTGACAGGCATGTGGCCTCCAGGAAAGATTTATTGAAGGTTAGAACACTTAATGCTAATTCCCAGAAACAACCAAAAAACACATTGGATGGGGTAGGTGGTATTCAGGGAACCTGTGAAAACTTAAGAGTTTACTATTTTATATTAACTACCAATTATGTTATTGTAAAAGAAAGCTAATGATATGCTAGACACACACACCACACCCACACACACATTTATTTGATGACAAGTAAAATCAACAACATTTCAAGGATCCCACAAAATACTTTTGAGAAGTTAGGGGACAGTAATAATTTAGAAGGCAACTTGGGAAAAATGAGCAAAAAAACATTTAGAATAAAAAGTGTTTTTAAATTCAGAAGCCAATGAGCAGAATATACAGGCAGCATTTTCAAAAACATTAAACTAAGGCTGAGACAGGAGGATGGCAAGTTCAAAGCCAGCAACTCAGTGAGACCCTGTCTCAAAATTTAAAACCAAAAGGGCTGCGGATGCAGCTCAGTGTTGTTAAGCGCCTTGCATTCAATTACTGGGACTAATAAAAAATTAAATTTTTTTTAAAAGCAAGCTATTATATTTGGGTTTGTTTTGTTTTGCAGTACTGGGTCTTACACCTTAAAATAAATAAACTAACAAACTCAAAGGAATATATATTCTTTGTTAAAATTTTGCAGCTTGTTTTCCCTATGGTATTATCAGTTTCTAATAGGCACATATTAAAAAATTTACTGCTCCATACTTAAATCAGCTCTTTTTTGAGTTTAAAAAGGTCAGTCATAATCTAGGTCTTCCTCTGTTTAAACAGTAGAAACCATTTTGGCCAGATTATAATTGCCCCTAGTATAACACTACCTTGAATGAAATTTTTGTTCATCCAAAAAATAAGGCACTAACAGAGGCTTGTGTATTCATTTGTTTGTAATGCTAGATTTTAACTGTACTTGGTAATATAAAAATTAGGATCATACTTGTGTCACTGTCTAAAAGGCAGGCATCCATAGGGCATATACGTTAACCTCAATGAGGGAAAAATACCTATATTGAACCATTCTGTTTCATAGTACTAGCTGGCAAAAATACCTGCTTTATTTCCCCAGTTAGTTAACCCAGACAAAGGTTTAAATTCCTGTTCTATACCTCTTGTTCCTGATGTTTTTAAAACTCTCTTTTAGTTTTGTCACCTACTGATGAAATGGAAATGTCACTCAACTACTTTACAATATTGTTGCATGAGTTAAAAAGTCTCAGGCATATATCTGTGTCAGAAGTAATCTATAATTAAACCAATTTTATCACTATGGATAGAGAAAAACAATTCTACTTATAAAAAAAAATTTCTCAGAAGAATCAAACCTTTCTCCCAAAATGTGGTATTATTAATACTTTAGATTAAATTATTTGGGTTCTACAACATGGCATTAAGTTCTAGTAAATCCTAAGGAAAGGTGTTATTATTATTTTGGCTACATAAAGAAAGAAAAACAAATGAAAGCTTCTAGATAAAGACAGGCAGTCATAATTTATTTTGACTTTTTAAAAATTGTTCATAATTTTTAATTTTTAAAGCACCCTAAACTTGGGGTGGAGAAAAATCTTAAAAAGATTTATTATATGACCCCACATATCACAACAAAAAAAGAGTGCTGGGCTAGGATTGTGGTAGAGCGCTTGCCTAGCATGTGTGAGGCACTGGGTTCGATTCCCAGCACCACATATACATAAATAAAATAAAGGTCCATCAACAACTAAAATAATAATAATAAAAAAGAGACTTCAAGAAATTAAATAGATGTGCTCAAGTTGTACAGTCAATATGTAAGAAGATTCAAACTGTAGTCCAAATATGTTCTTTACACTATAAATGCCACTATGTCTTAAACTCCATATTTCCCTTTTTTGGTTTACCATGCTTTTTTTTTTCCATATCCAGTAACTTTCAATTTTCAATTATTTTTAGGCAACCAATAATCTATGTTTAATAAGTTACCAATCCAAATCGACTACTTTCCCACATATATTTCCTTTCTTCCTTACTATGAAAATCCCAGTTTACTCCAGATATGGCAATATATTCAATGAAGCATTTGACTAAAAAAAAAAAAATGAAAATTAAACAATGACTATTAAATAGTAGATAAATCTGAATTTAAACCCATCCTAAAGACGTTAAAAAAAAAAAAAAAAAAGAAAGAAACTTCAAACAATACACAAAGCTAAGTTTCAAAAAGATGGATGTTATTTTCAAATATGTAATCCATGAAGACAACAGAGTCATCCTCAACAAGGGCCATCAATGAATAACTGATGTTCAAAATAATGAGTAATATTTTAAAATTTAACATACTTTCATTATAGCAGAAAAACAGTGTAAGCTATAATAAGCTTTGTAATAATGGAGAAATTAGCTACAGTAAATGAGATTATGGCTCAAACTCTCTCAAAGTAAGATTTGTTAGTATTATTAAAGTAAAATAAAAGAACCCCTAAGAGTTACACAGAAGAGAAAGTCTGTTTTCCTCTCTTTCATAAATCTATACTCCAGTCTTAAGAAAAGCAGATTTGCCAGATTGGGTAAAGTGAACAGGCACTTTTAAAATAAATAAATAAATCCTGAATTAGGTGCATAATCCTACAACTAAATACAAACTTGGAGGTAATTCACTTAGAAAGGATTTAAGGAAAAACATAATGATAGCATTCTAGTCAATATTCAATATTAGAAGTAGCCATTTTAGCCAATGATTTCAATCTATTCAGATAATTCAAAATTTTAAAATAAGATAAAACTTTTTATATCTACTTTAAGTGGTTAGTAGTACCGGATGAAACAGAAAGATGAATTCAAGATGAGTTTGCAGGGTATGCTTTCTTAGAACTATAATTATTTCTATATCATCTATTTTGATGTTGCTATAGCAACTTTATAAATCATGAGCATTCATCATTCACCCCTTGATAATTCAGAGGTACATTTGTTTCCAGTAAAAATATATACATTAACAAATTTGATGTGTAGTAAATTTACTATTTACTATATACTATTTACTGTGTATATATTTACTAAAAATTAATCAGACAAAAAACACTGAAAAGTGTTTGTAAAATGCTTACCATGATTTATGAAAAGCAAATCTAATCTCATAATCAAGTCACATATGTTAGAAACTTATTAGCAATGTTTGGTATCCCAAGTTCACAAAAAAGAACCCTCAACTGAAAACATGGTAAAGTGCTAGGTTTCTGAAACTTACTTTTAAATGGGTTTCAACAAAAGAAATGTACATACATATACACACATATTTGTATATATATAAAATCTCTGCAAATATGAATGAAAATTTAATGTTGCAAATGTTATTAATGCTGAACTTAAGCAAAGGGTACACAGATGTTGAGAGTATTTTTTTCAACATTGCTGAGTTTCAAATTAAAAGCAAAAATTTCAAAGTAAAAAATTGGGAGAACAAAGGACTGTCACTGGTGTCCAGTACTCTTTACTTTTATTGTCCTGAATATAAGCCCAGTGCTTCCCTTTTTTCTGAAAGACCCTCTGTCCTCATTTAAGACCACTATTAACAGAATTAGGTTATATATTTTAAAGAAAAATCACTATTCCAGGAAAGAGTTTTAAAAAGCAAGTTTAAAGGCTAGAATCAGAGAATTAATTGTTTTACCTGAAAGTTAACATCTTCTTTCTTAAATATTAGTGCTCGAACTTCATCTGGATCTCCATTAAAAATAGCTTGCACCAGTGACGGCTAAAATATGAGAGAATAATAAAAACATTAGTCCTACCTCATGAATAATTCTATTTCCATTCCATAAACAACTTCTTTCTTTCTTTCTGGTGCAGTACTAGGAATTGAACCCAGGAGCACTTTACCACTGAGGTACATCCCCAGTCCTTATTTTTATTTGCTTATTTATTTATTTATTTATTTTTGGAGACAAGGTCTTGAACCCAGGCCGGCCTCAAACTTGTGATCCTCCTGCCTCAGACTTCTGAATAGCTGTGATTACAGAATGTGCCACCATGTTGAGACACATAACTTCTAATAATAAGTGGCAGAAGTTTCATGAAGTCAAATCATATCAAAGTACAGAATTCATCTTTGGGGGTGGGAGAGGGCTTAATTGTTTAAACAAAAATGTATATGTCAATTCAGTTTGACTAAAATTAAGCAATATAATAAACACAATCAGGTTTATTTCTTATTTGGTGGAAGCTTCCTGTTTATATATGATCAAAAGACTACCAAATAAAAGTTTAATATCTCAACATCTACTTGTGGATTAAGACTTGTCAAATAGCAATACCCAGCACATACTGAAGCCCATGAAAGCATGTCCCTTTAAAAAGGCCTGTTTAGGGCATAAAAATAATATGCATGGGTTAGCAACACAAGACATAAATCCCAAGAAAGTAAACTTGGCAGCTAATAAAAATAACTACTACTAAAAGACCAAAAAATATTGTAAACATGAATAACATGAAAAGACAAACACATGCAGGTCTAAATATAATTTCTTAATCAACAACATAGACTCTCTAAAGTATCATATTATACTAGTCACACAAGAAACCAGTTTGACAACAGTATTAAAAATAAGATGCAGCATAAAGTCTTGGTCTTTTTCATATAAAGCTTTACATGTAAATACATAAATATTCTTTATAGAAACAACTATGCATTGGTGTTGCTAGTAGAACTCAACCTTTCTTAAAATACGCAGTTCCTGATTCTTGTCACATCACTTCTAAAAACCACAAAATAAAAACAGATATGTGGTTGCCAAAACTATTTCTCTATTTTTAAAAAAAGTCTTAAGAGATTAAGAAATAGTAAAGTCTGAAATGTTATCTAAACACTTGAAAAAGTAAAAATCAGAAATGTTTTTATTTTATACAGAATATTGTATCCTACTGACAAAATGAAACTAGTGGAAACTAAATCAAGTTTATTCTTAAAAATAAAATTTATAATACTTTAAGCTCAGCATAATATAGGAAATATAAACTCTCATATCTTACCAATACATTTCCAGAAGGTAGAGAATGTAGGGATTTATTTTCCTGTGGCAATTTAGAAATGAATTCAGGAGACTCATCTTCTACCTCCTCCAAAACAACAATACACACTCGACTCATTCGCTCTTTTAAAACATTAAATTCCAAGTTTTGTGATAAAAGCCACAGTTGAAAGAGCACAAGTAGTTTTTCCTCCTCTTCTGAACAACACTTACAAACATTCTTTGAACAGCGCAGCTGGTTTTATAAAGTTACTAAGTACTATCACAGAAACTGAAATTTAAAATTATGATATATAACTTGAAACTTACTAAAAATAACAAAATTCTGTTTTCTGTTAGTTACCATAATACTTAAAAAACCTTTTAATCAGCATGTCAATAATTATAACTGAGTCCAGTACAAGCTCATTTTAAAATATTTCCCCCACCAAAATAATAATATTGCTCTCTGAATTTTACTTGTACAAAACAATTATTGTTTTTGGTGACACAACACCACACAATACAGAATGAAGTAAGAAACAACTGCTATGACAGAGATGATCACAGCTATACCCACTCTTGCCTGCAAGGTCATATAATAACCAGTAGGTTGGCTTGCTTTCAATTAAAAATAAAAAATAAAACCTCACTATTCTGTTTCCACTTCTAATTTGTCTTCATTTCTTCAGTTTCACTAATTCAATGAAGATCTTATCCAGGAAATTTAAAAAATAAAGATCTAGAGCTCAGCACAAATCCTGAAAATGAAGCTCAGAGGTTAACAATTGTTTCTGTGTTTGGAAAAGGGGGAAAAATACTCTGCATTAATAGCAAAGCTGCAGTACATTTACATGTGATGAGTCAGACCACAAGAGACAATAGGACTCTTGGTACTAGAATACAGCTTGATTAATCCAGATTTCCCATATAATAGAAGAAACACAGATAGCTTTATTCCCATCGATAGAATAAGCAAGGCAGAGCTTTCATTCTTTCTCTATCAGGCAGTTGTCCGTGGCTGCTCCAGCAAAAGCGCACAGGCACCAGGCAGAAATGGTGATAGTGGAGAATCCTAATAGAACAAGCAGGCTGTTCGAAGGAATTAGAAGGCATTTGAGCTCAAATTACTGCTTCAGGGTTTTCATTTTAAAACGAGAGAGAAGAAAAAAACCAGTTTATCATTCCTGTGTTTCATTTGATCTCCACATGAATACAGCTTCCGTTTAACAGTCTTCATTCAGAGGGAAAAAAAATAGCAGACTGTGCATCTTCTTTGAGCCAACTACTTTATTCAATCATCTGCCTCTGTGCCAATATAGTTTCCTTCCACAAGAGAAAACCGCCACAGTTATTCTTCTCAGTCGATTTCAGATGCTTTCCTATTTCCTCAGATGATCTTGCAAAATGTCAATGACATCCCCAAATGAATAGTCTGTAGAAAATATCTACAGAATCTCAGGATCGGCCTCTCAGAAGCATTCCAACTGAGCAACAGTCTGAAGAGCAAAGACTGCAGACCCGCAGGATGAAATGCCTAGTAATGCTCACATGTTACACTTACCAAGAGAGCTGAGCTACTGCTCAGGATGTAACTTCCTCTAGCAGGAGAAAAAAATAGTGCCTTTGGACAGCCTTCACAATTAGAAGGTTCATGCCAGTTCTGTGACTAATCCAGATCAAACTGAAAAAATTCTATAACTGAAAAATGAGTGTGCTTTTAACATTTTCCACTAAAAGCCACAAGGAAATCTGGTGTACTGCCTCTGCTGACTAACACTGGTTTTAGCAAGTAAACAATTTCAAACAGTTTAACTGCTTTCGTATGCTACAATATAGCAAATGTTTAACCCTATAATGGTGGCTGCAGTAAGGATGTCGCAGTGAACTCATAAAAGAGATTTAGAGACAAAGGAAAAATACCTTATGAGGCTATAAAAACCAAGAACTTAAGTTAAAGTGTTATTTTTGCCAAGATCTCCCCAGCCCAAGATATATGCTTTTTTTTTAAGGATTCAAATTAGTTTAAACAAAAGAAATTTGAGATTTTTCTACCAATTTCTAGTTTGTTGAATTTAATCAACTGATTCATATTTTTAAAGGAAAAAAAATACAAACTTTACAGAAGTCCAAATTCAGTGAAGATATTAAAGAATCCGACCTTTCTAACTGGAACTGTAATAAAGCATTAAACGTCTGTTAAATAGCTATAAAACAAATGCCTAAAATTCTTAGTCCTGAATTATCAACATGGTAAAAGGGCACAGGACAATGCAAAGAAAAAGACTCTCCTTCCCTATAAAAATAATATTCTCAAAGCTACAAATAGGTGTTCAAACTATTTGGTGGGGGCGGGGAGCTATATAGTTCAGTGGCAGAACTCCTGCCTAGCTTGTGCAAGGCCTTAGGTTAGATCCCCAGCACTGTAAAAAGCAAAAAACAAAAAACCCTAACCATTTTGTAGTTGGCTCCCTCCACCATTTCTCTGTTTACCAGATGATGGGAATATTCCCTAATGGAAAATAACACAAAAATACCTTCAACCTGGATTTTTCTTCTATCAGTCAGTATTTTTATTAATAAACTTAACAGTTTTATGTGTCAAGGGCTGTACTTTCTCATTTAATACTCAGAATAACCCCATTATACTCCCATTTAACAGAAAAAAAAAAGACCCAGAAAGTTTCTTACCCAAAGTTATTCAAATTACTAAAATTGTACCTTATCCCAAACATCCATACCCACCCCCCTGATTTTTACAACCTATAATACAAGCCTATAAAAGTAATCTTGAAAGACAGGTAACCTATAATGGCTGTGAAATTTTTAGGTAACAAAAGAATGTCATCTACTGCAAAAATATTCCCAAATAAGTTATTTTAAATGAGTTATTTCAGAGTAAATCTGATCTCATGTATTTAAGTTAGTTTACTTATCAAACTATGGGAAAAAATAAATAAATAAAACCAATATAATATAGGTAGATTAAAAATGCCAAGAACTGAAAAACCATTGAAAGATATAGAGTATCAGTCTATAAAATAACCTATAACATTCTTATGAGTTTGCTAGTTATTTTACCTTTTATTGTTGTTGTATTTTTTAAATGGGTCCTCATTACGTTGCCTAAGCTGACCTAGAACTCCTAGATTGGAGTGATCCACCTGCCTCAGTCTCTGAAGTAGCTGGGACAACAGGTGTTTGACACCATACTTGGCTCTAGTAGCTATTTTAAAATATATAAAATGGGGGCTGGAGTTGCGGCTCAGTGGTAGAGCGCTTGCCTAGCATGTGTGAGGCATTGGGTTCAATCCTCAGCACTACTTAAAAATAAACAAAATAAAGGTATTGTGTTTATCTACACAACTAAAAAACAAACAAATAAATAAATAAAAATAAAATGGAGCCAGGTTTGATGATGCACACCTGCAATTCCAGCAACTTGGGAGCTGAGGCTGAGAACAGCAAGTTCGAGGCCAGTTTTATCAATTTAATGAGATCTTCAGGAATTTAGCAAGATCTTGTCTAAAAAAAAAAAAAAAATGAAGGGCTGGAAATGAAGCTCAGTAGTAAAATGCCTGCATTTAGTCCCAAGTTCAGGAAGGAAAAAAAAAGAGTAGAACTGGGGATATAACTCAGTGGAAAAGCACCCTTGGACTCAATCCCTAGTACCAAAAATAAATAGGTAACTAAAATACTTTTAAACCAAATTACAGATATACGAATATTTTAACATACTACCTTGGCTGGGTCAAACATATCATCTTAACATTTGAAATATCTAAAAATAAACCATTATAACAGCATTATCCTCTATGTCACCTCAGGGTTTTTTATCCCCCAAATGGAATGTCTTTTTATTTAGATAATTTAAACCTGTTCCATAGTATCTAGAACCTACGTTCACCTACTCGGGCTTAATCAAGTACAAACCATTCCTTGCTCTAGATCAACTTCAGTATTTAGATTCTGCCTACCTTAAAAGCAAGTTCCATAAAAGCAGGGTCTTTGTTATATATAATGTTTGTTCCTTCCCACTTTCTTCCACCTGTAAATAATTTCATTGAAATTCATTCTATGATGTTACAAGACTCTAGAGTGGCATCTTTATTAAAAAAAAAAAAAAAAAAAAAGGCAGTCCGAAGACATAGGAGGCATAAAAGTGCAAAACCATGAGTTTAATACTTCTAATAAGTGAACTAAAACTCAGAGGTGAAAGGCTAAAAAAAATAAAAACAATAAAGGGTAATGGCTACAGTTAAGGGATAAGTAGCCAGCCTATCTGAAGTTCAAATTCTGATTCCATCATTTACTAGCTATGTTGTGTCCTAAGGCAAGTTAAAAAACCCTGAGCCCACGTTTCTTCATACTTATAACAACAACCTCCAGAGATTTTTATGAAGAAAAACACTTTAATAGCATGATGTTTGCGAATGTAAGCTTTGTAGTCAAATTGCCTGGAATTCAAATCCACTTCCCACTAACTAACCTGACCTTGCAACGTTGAGCAAGTTACTTAACCTCTATGTTCATTTCAACACCTAAGTAATATTAACAATATGTCACTGTCATACTGTTGAATATAATAGCTGTGAAATTAAAAACTTTCCTCCATTTTCCAGAAGCCTCAACAGACGGCTAAAAGCTTGTCATAAGACTCCAGTAACCAGGCAAGTGCTTACTTAGTATTGAATACATATTCAAGAAATTAGAAATGAAAGAGATATTTCTGAGGGAAAATTACTGACAAAGATTTTTCAAACTCTAAGTCCACCAATTTTTGTATTCCCTAATGAGTAAAACTGCAAGAAAATGTGATTGTTTTTTCTTTAGGTCAAATTAGATTAGGCTTTTTGGGGGTGGGGGTGGGAAGGGAGACCAGTTCTTTCTATGTTGCCCTGGCTGGCCTCCAACTCCTGAGGTTAAGTGAACCTCCTTCTGCCTCAGCCTCCCAAGTAGCTGGAACTACTGCTATAGACCACTGTGCCCAGTCAGATTAAGTTTTTAATAAACAAACAGGTTCAATCTTAACAACTTCATGATCCTTCCATTCTTTAAGTAAAATGTATCCTATCAGGAGCTTATTCCTACTATTCACAGAATTATGTAATGTTAAAGTACCTATTTAAACCTTAATTTTACTGATAAAAACACAAGGCTCTGAAAGATTATTATTTTTTAAATATTTATTTTTTTGTTACAGGTGGATACAATATCTTTATTTTTTTATTTTATGTGGTGCTGAGGATCAAATCCAGTGCCTTACAAATGCTAGGCAAGTGGTTTACCTCTGAATAATAACCCCAGCCCTCTGAAAGATTATTTTTAAAATTTCTTTTTTTCCTTTCTATATCAGGATTAAAGCTAGGGGCAAGTTGTAGCTCAGTGGTAAAGTGCTTGCCTAGCATGTGTGATGCACTTGGTTCGATTCTCAGCACTGTAAATAAATAAAGATAAATAAATAAAATAGAATAAAGGTCCATCAACAACTTAAAAAAAAAGATTCAAACTAAAATTCAACTTACCCTTTCATATCTGTAAACTCTATACTGATAATCATGGAATAAACATTGAATATCCCTATCCAAAGAACTCTGAAATCTTAAACACTTCTGTTACCTAACAATTCCCTAAACAATACAGCATAACAGAAGTGTTTAAGATTTCAGAGTTCTTTGGATTTTGTAATATTTGCATAGACTTTACCAAAAGTAAACTGTCAAAATCCAAATTTTGAAATGCTCTGTAATTCAAAACTTCTTGAGTGTCATGAATGACAGTACCAAGAGCCAAATTATTCTCCAAGTATATATAATTGGCTCTCCGTAGTTGTAAGTTCCACATCTACATATTCAACCAACTATAAATTAAAAAGGGAGGGTGGGTGGTGAGTATTGTGTCTGTACTGAACATGTACAGACATTATTCCCTAAATAATACAGCATAACAACTATTTACATAGTATTTATATCGTATTAGGTATCATAAGCAATCTAGAGATGTTAAAGCACTCTTCAAGGATGTGCATAGGTTATTCACAAATACTACACCACTTTATACAAGCTATACTTCCCAAATGGCTAATAAGTAATGTCATTTAAAGATCTTAAGTGATTAGATCTCACTGGTACATTATAATGGTAATAAGTAACAAATTGTTAGCCCTTCCAATGCTACCATTATATATTGCATATTATCAACATGTATTAATATCACATGTGTTTTTTGCAATACTGTTATTATGCATCCATTTTTTTGATCATCCACTGAACTATACAATCCAGTTTTTAAGTGGATATAGAGCCTCCCAGAATAGACTACCTTTCTCAGCCTCCTTTATAGACCCTCCTCAATTTTATTTGAAGTCTAGTACACTAAAATAATCTGAAAATACTTAGCCAAGAAAATCTTATTTTAAAAATATTCACCAAAAATACTGTAGCATTGACTCTACAAATATTTAATGTTCGTGTTTCTACTATATACACTACACCAAGCCATTACAAAATATACATCATCTTCACCTTCAAAAGCCTCTGCCAACTTTAACAGTATACTATAGTAACAGAAAAAC